GCCTCCCAGAGTGCTAGGATTACAGGCGTGAGCCACGTCGCCTGGCCTCTGTTAGTTAAATTTGAGTTTCATTTTCCTCCCTGTGTCCCCAAATAGGGAAAGTTAACAAACAAATATACTTTAAAACACATGAAGAAAAATCAACAACTATAACCACAAACATAGGAAGGCCAAAGGCAGAAATAACAGATCTCCTGGTGCTGCTACAGACTGTGGGGGGTGAAAAGGTGTTCTGTGAAAATACATTCTGAGACCTGGAAACTGTGACACTTGCAGATTAGTCTCTTTTCAGTGCTGAAGCACCTGGACAATTTGGCAGCCAATCATAAAATATCTACTCAAATATTCTGGAAGAATAGACCAATGATTCGTAAAGGGCAGTAATGGTGGCATGAGTAGCTGAATACCAAGAGTCAACATATGAAAGGAGTCCCCTATTCCCAGGAATCCCTTCAGAGGCTCCATTCCCTTCTAAGAGGGAAGACCCAAGAAGCTAGGTACTACATTAGGAGCTTTACAGGATACCTCACATTTAGTCCTCCCATCAATCTGCTGAGGTTAGCCTCACTGCCTCTCGTTTTGTACATGAGGAAATTGAGCCCCTTAATTGACTTAAGATTTCAATACTTACGTATAGCAATCACAGCGAAGGTCACCAGCAATTGCTTCCAAATTTACATCTGCATCCAGTGGAGGTTTGGTGCCATTCTAAATAAAAGAGAAAAATGATTTTTCATTGAAACTTTACAGATCCATACTCATCCACGTAATAGGCTCTTAATAATGGCTGCTTGACTGAGTATAATTGCCTCCCAGATCAGTGCTGTAAGATTTCTAAATTTCGAGAAACGAGGTTCAGAAGCAGATTCCGAACTTGGGAAAGCTAAAAGCAAACAATTTATGCTCGTGAAGTCTGAAGAATTTGTGTGCAGTTGCAGCAAAAACAAACCACCACCACCAAGAACAAAACCACCACTTCAATCTTTCCAAAGGTGAAGAAATACATTTCCTTTGCATGCTGAAATAGGGCAAATATTTAAGCAATGCTTAGTTTTGGTGTGAGGTTGCCTAGGAAGGGAGAAATAACACTGAACCTGGCTAGGAGAGAATGAGCAGTAACTTGCTCTACAATAAGTGCCCAAAGCCCACTGAGCTCAGTATGTTCTTTCTTAATCCTTTATCTAAAACTCAATCCTGACTTTGATGCCAATTCCCCTTCAGCTTATATCAAGAGATGCTAGAAATGAAAAGTATAGAATTTAGTATAGAACTCTTAGAATTGCAACATTTAACATAGTACCTTGCATGCATACAGTACGTGTTTAATAATATTTTACTATAATAATAACAATGACAAAATGCAGAAGTAAACAAAACAGTTTTTTGTTTTTTTTTGAGACAGAGTCTCACTCTTTTGCCCGGGCTAGAGTGCCGTGGTGTCAGCCTAGCTCACAGCAACCTCAAACTCCTGGGCTCAAGCGATCCTACTGCCTCAGCCTCCCGAGTAGCTGGGACTACAGGCATGTGCCACCATGCCCGGCTAATTTTTTCTATAGATTTTTAGTTGTCTGATTAATTTCTTTCTATTTTTAGTAGAGACAGGGTCTCGCTCTTGCTCAGGCTGGTTTCCAACTCCTGAGCTCAAACAATCCACCCGCCTTGGCCTCCCAAAGTGCTAGGATTACAGGTGTGAGCCACCGCGCCCGGCCTATACTGCTTTTTTGAGATGATGTTTGCTCGTCAGCAAAATGAAAGTATGATTCATTTAAATATTTAAATATTCAATTTCAAACACTTCAATATCCTATAATCCCATCTCTCAGAGGTAAGCACTGTGAATATTTTGGCATATTTTCTTCTCGATGTTTTTCTTTATATGTCTTTATACAGTTGAAATCTCTAGGCTATTTCAAGGCCTTCATTTATTTCCCATCCTCAGGAATGAATGAAAATTTCTGCTGTTGTTTCACAAACATTTATATTATCTTTTCATTTGAGAGGCAAGCTCCTTATAGGTAAGGACTATGTCTTTGTTTCTTAGTCTCATCACAGTATACACACAATTTGGGATATATTTAATTTATAATAAACACTTGTTGACAAACTAAAAGACAATTTTATTCCAATATTCTGTTATCTTACTTTTTTAATCATTTTATCTTTGAAGTACAGTACTTTGAGTATTTAACCCTTAGACCGAGGGCTAACGATTTTGACAAATAGTGCTGAAATTCTAGATGAAGGAAGTGTAAGGTTGTTTCATGGTGTGAATATCACACTGTGAATGAAACATATCTGGAAGAATGAGCCAATCATTCTTCTGGGTCCAAATCTATAAGGCTCTGAATATCATGTATAAGTGGCTTTGTGTAATAATACTCATAATAAGGCTCATGTCTGACATGTCTAGAAATGAATACCACTCCAATCTTACCCATGATATCCCATAAGGGCAAGTGTGAAAGCACTATCATTACCTCAACATGACTACAAGAAATTCATAGAAACAAACTGGGATTATATGTGTGTGCTTCTTGGTGCATATACACGCACGCACGCACAAACACACACACACACACACACACACACACACACACACACACACACACACGTCAAAGCAAACTAAATCTCACTATCATATATCATAGTTCCTAATAACACAGCCAAGGAAAGGGAGAGAAATGCCATGATGCATTCATCATCAACGTGTCTGACACAAAGAAACACCTGTATAAAACTATAACAGGGTTTCTTAACGTTGGCATTATTGACATTTTGGGTTGGATAATTCTTTTTTTTTTTTTGAGATGGAGTCTCACTGTATTGCCTGGGCTAGAGTGCCATGGTGTCATCCTAGCTCACAGCAACCTCAAACTCCTGGGCTCAAGCGATCCTCCTGCCTCAGCCTCCCAAGTAGCTGGGACTACAGGCATGCGCC